ACATTATTCAAAATGTCTTTGTCATGACAACTTGACATTAACCTAGACAAAATTGTCTTCGTTATGACAACTTGACATTAACCAAGAAATCATGATCTGACAAATTTGTTATAAAAGTATTACCGATTAAACTTTAAAAATTAGCTTTATGTGGTAATATTATATAGCTCTGCCATGTTGTTTAGTCTTAATTTTTTTAATTTAATCGATCCTAAAGTTCTACAGCAAGATGCCTACAAAGCTCTTATGAACTTAGCATTTAAACATTATTTAAGGCTGTTTTAACCCTTGTGCGTGCGAGGACTGAGGCAAACAAAAAGAACTGTGGCAAATGATAAAAGTTTTACGTGTGTGGGGTCGGTTGGACCCCTTTTCGAAACACAATTAAGTAGTGCAATACACCATCTCCACCAGTGAGAGGCAGCAGTTCACGAACAGCCGTGCAGTGTGTTGGTGAAGAAGAAATCTTCCATATTGTGGGGCAAACCTAACAAGTTATAACGGCTAGACCATAGACATAATAAAAGAATAGACCCTCATGGAGAAGGACCTCGCTGCAGCAAACAGAAAGGGGCGGGACGGATCACTGTCAGTCTCTTACCTTATTTGGAAATGGGACCATTGCACTCCGGAAGTGAAGGGGGCGCTATTTCCTATATTATCCGCGGTCTCCCGTTTAAATTTTCTTTTTAAATTTGTGATATAGCTTTAACTTAGGAAGGAGTTTCTCTCTCAGCATGTATTTGAACTTCTCTCTTTTATTTACTTCAGCGCAGCTCACAGTTTTTAACAATTTCCGTTGATTTCTGTGTACTTCTAAATCTGCTCCTTTTTCGCATCTTTTCGGGCCTGCTACTGCCTCTAGTGGCGTGGTGGTGGTAGCACAACTAGTATAAATACATTACTAAATCAGAATACCAAAGTCTTTATTATTTATTATTAATTCTGGCATTACTGGAACCTCAAAAGATGAAGTCCCTCACAAAACAACATACCTTTTAATTTTCTTAAGGAAGTAGAGCTAATTAAATGACAAAAACAAGACCTGAAAGTGGTTGCCGTTTCACTCATTGGCCAACCTGTTGAAACTATGGCAAATTTTAAATACCTTGGATCATTCCTGGACAGTCAGCTCAATTTTGCTGAAAACACTGGCTACATTTTTAAGAAACGTCACTCTATCTTTTAAGAAGACCCAGTGATCTTGGGGTTACCTAACAAGTGCAACTCGTGCAAAACCTCTAGTTAGTTAGAGGTAACATTAGCTAACATTACCTCTAGTTAAGTAATGTTAGCATTTTAACAATGAGTTAAAATGTTAAAACTTAAAAATTTAACTTAAGTTTTAAGTCATCTCAAGTTTTAACTGTTGAGGGCTTTAGCTTTTCATCTCCTCGGCTGGTTTGGTCACATGAGCTGCAGACTAACAGACAATCTTTTAAGAATACTTTGAATGGCAGGAAAAATAGTAGGTAAATAGTGGTGAAACCAAAAACAACTCTGTCTAAACTGTTTAGAGCATCCATCCTCTTTTTTGTGTTCCTCTGGTAACTATAGAACATCTATTAGACGTCATTCATTGACAGTGCAATAATTATTCTTAGCCAAATTAAATGATAACATTTACCTGTAGCATGCTAAGTGTTTACTTGATGCACAAATTGTTGATATTGTGATTCTATTAATGAGTTTTATTTTATTGTTTTAGAGTCAAAGAAAAATTTCCACCTTGGAAGACTAAATAATTTAATCATATTTTTTCCTATATATAGGACTCTACCAACAAAACAAAAATGTGGATTATTGCTTGTTTAACAACCCTGGCTATTCGTCTGTGAACCTAATTAATTTGTTTGTTATTGACTTTTGCTCAATTAAATTTCTTATGTATATTTTGTATATGGTATTTTTATTGTTGTTGATAATGTTGTTTTTCATGTCATTTCTTTTCTTCCTCCTATAAGTGATGGAGATAGATATTATTTATAATGTATAAAGGTGTTTATGTCACCTAATTAGCTCTACATCCTGAAGAAAAATATGGTATTTTAGAAGATACTTTATCTTTCACGTTGCCAGAAATGGCGAAATTAATAGTAAATAAAGATTTTGTGGTATTCTCGTTTAGTGACATAATTATATTAGTTGTGTTACCACCCCCACGCCACTAGGCTGACAGTGGTCCGTCCCCGCCCCTTTCTGTTTGCTGCAGCGAGGCCCTTCTCTCCAGGTGAGGTCCAGCAGTCTCCGCTGCCGGTCGATCTCCTCCTCGTACTGGACGATGGTTTTTTCCAGCTGGGTGAAGATTTCTTCAGCAGCAGCAGTTAGTCTCTCTCTGATAAACTCTCTCAGACGCTCAACGGAACACATTGTTGCTGAATAGAACCAGAAAACACCTGGGCACGGCGACACACGAGCTAACGAAGCTAACCGGAAGCTACCGATGTAACTGCTTCCTGTTTTAACAGCGGTAAAATGCAGCCTGCTGCTGCCACCTGCTGGACAGAAGTGAAGCTCAAACATGTGAACGTTAGAATAAATATTTAATAATATAGTTATTATTTCCTAATAATACCTGCTGGTTAGATGCTTGTGGACTCACTAGCTGAAGCGGTTCGGGTCAAAAGCCTTGAAGTTGTTTTTCCTGCAGCTGCATGAGAACCAAGCCGTCTCTCTGTTTGGATCCTGATCCTTGGGGTAAAACTGCCTGGAGAGCTTTCAGTCCAAACAGTGACCGTCTAATATGCTCCCTGTACTGATCACAATGTATGAATAAACCTGACTCAGCGATTTCACCCAGCAGTGCTTGCTAATTGTTTTTTTCCACAACCATTAATAAACAAAATATTTATATAGCACTAAATATTTTTTTATTTCTTAAACTACGATTTATCTCCTTACACAAATCATAGTTTATAGTTTCTTATGCTAAATTAAATGCTTTTTGTGCTACAGCAAAAATATTTAAAATTATTTTACTTTTAGCTCATGAGAAAAAAAACATCAACCATCAAACCCAAACCATCTACTGGTGTTTATCTGCAGCAGTCTGGTGGTCACACACACACACACACACACACACACACACACACTCTACTGAATGACCAAAGCACAGGTGATACAGATGATAACTACACAGAATGAATCCTGTATATTTCTTCAAGTACCGATAAATAATTCACACAGATCAGGTCAGACTGACTTTAGTGTAGAAAACAAGCAAACACCACCAGGTTTCTGACACATGAGGAAATATTAAAACATATTTCATAAAGAAAAGTGTATTCATATAAAACATTCAGGCCATCGGCGCCACCTGCAGTCAGGTGTAGCAACATGCTCACAGAAAAGACTTTTCAACTCAGTTTCATCGCCTGATTCTCATGAACAGCAGATCCACATTTCAGACGCTCCGTTCGCTGCTTCTGGCTTTAATATGAATATTTGATAAGGAGTCAAATCAACAGCTGCTGGTTCAATAATTAAAACAAACACAGAGCTCTGACTATGAAAAGACTTCAGGACGTTTCCTGAAGCTTCTTGTGTCGATTAAAAACTGTTCTTTCATTCAGATTATAATTTTATCGTTAAGAGACAAAACAATTTTATCTGGAATCAAAAACATTTTGTCTTGGCTGTTTAAACAAAAGGTCAAAGTTCAGTTTTGGAGACTGTCAGAAATGCTTCATGTTGTCTTTAATCATCAAGAGTTTGAATCTGAAATCATCAAACACAGAGAAACCCAACAAAACAAGCTGTGGGATCCAGGGACACGATTAACCAGAAAACATTTTAAATACATTTAAAAATGACATAAAACTTTAGGAGCATTTTATGAAACTCAGGACAAATAAAAGGACAAAATTTTAGTTGATGAAACGGATGAATTCAGACTCAACCAGCTTTTGAGTCGAACTTCAAACTCAAGTTACCTTCTTTAATTTATTTTAATACACTGAGCATTGTTTGTCTTTACTGCTTTATTCTGTTTTTTTAATCAAAGTGTCAATCTACCAGTTGGTTACACGAGTTAACTTCATTAACCTGAGTGACCAAAGACTGAACTACAGATCAAACCGACTAAAACAGAAAGAGTCCAAATCTCTAGTTGTTGAATGCAACACGTGCTCAAAGCGACAGAAAGATACATGAGAAACTTCAGTAACTTCTTCTAAAACTAAATGATGATAAAGAAGCAAAACTTTGTAAAAAAAAAAAAACACACAAAAAAAACAACCAGAACAGTGAAATCCTAAATCCTACAGATGAACAAACCTCCATAATAATCTGTTATTCTGCATGCAGCCAGAGATTCAAGACTGAAATGATTATTTTTAGAGTTCAGATTGAGAAATGATGTCCTGATATTATTTACATATTAAAATACTGCGATCATCACATCATAATTTTAGTGGAAAACAAATTAATTCACTGAACAAAACTTTATGAAAAGTGTTTCAGTATGAAGTGGAACCTCGTCACTCATTTGGTCATTTTAAATCTAGAAACTTACATAATTATAAAGAAAAAACTTTTTCCCCAAACAGTGAAGCTGCTTAAAGTCCATGTCTGCATGTTCCTGTCGGTTAACGACCCACAATCCTTCACTGCATCACATGACCAAAAACCACCTGGCCGCCGTTCCTCTGCACAAACACAAATTCAACTTTGATCACTAGTTTCAAATGACTTGATGCATTAAATTCATATTAATTTCATGTGGTTTGCCTTTTCATTTGTTTTCTCTAAAGACTTTCATTCTACAGTGAAGGATCCCAGACAAACATTCATTTTGTCACCTGTTAGAGATTTTTTGGTATTATCATTTTGTTATTACTTTAGTTCATATTCAGTCTAATGTTAATTAATAGTTAATCAACATTCAGTCTATAGATCATTGTGATTTTCAGTTTAAAGTGTTCTCTTCCTTATGTGTGTATAAACTGACCTGGAGGCCCCATCTGCCTGTTCGTCTTCATGTGAAACAGTTATCTGTGTTTCCCAGACCTTGAATTATGTTTCCACAGGTGCCTCCTTATCAACCAAATACTCCCTACCTTAGAAACTGCCTGTGTGCAGTAGTATTTTGTCTCTGCCGTCTTCCTTACCTATCCTCCCTCTTTTTGCTTGATAATAAAAGACAAGCTGTAACCAAAGGTATTCAGACGCTCAGTGAACGGCTTGGAGGAGCAGTTTGCTGAGACTTCTCCTTTTGCAAAAGCTTGGTCAGAAAACTCATATACGATGTCTGTGGTTCTTTTATGTAGGTTTGAGGAAAATACCCAGCATCGCCCTGAAATAAAAAGTACATGAATTTAATATGTTGACGTTCAACACAGGAGTTTTACTCTCATAGCAGGAAAGTTTCTTCATTTCAACTTCAAGCATTTAAGAGTAATCAGATGAAATAATTTGCTCCTCTGTCTGCTGTGAGGAGTTCGAAATGGCTGAAGCCTCATTCCGGCGGCTGAAACGTAAAAGGTTTGTCCTCTGAGTGAGCGGCCATGTGGCGCGTCAGATCAGCACTGTGAGAGAAACACAGACCACAGACCTCACAGGCGAAGCCTTTCTCACCTACGTGAACCTTCATGTGAGTTACTACGTTATTCTTCTGAACAAAACGTTTCCCACAGATGTGACACGAGAAAGGCCTCTCCCCTGTGTGAGTCCTCATGTGAACAGTGTACTGGTAGCTTTGAATGAAACCTTTCCCACAGATCTTGCAGGAGAAACGCTTCTCGCCTGTGTGCGTTCTTATGTGATTATATAAATAAAACTGGTTGAAACTTTTACCACAAATTTGGCAAAAAGCCCGATTTCCAACTCTGTGCCTCTTTCCTTTAGCTCTCCCTCTGTTGCTCTGCTTCAAACCTTCAGCTCTGCTCGGTCCTGAGTCTCCATCGTGGCTCTGGTTCTGGTTTAGGTTCTCAGCTTCATGATAGCTCTGAGACGAGCGCTGGTCTCCGTCTGGTTCTGGTTCTCCGTCCTTCATGAGAGAATCAGTCTGCTGATTCAGAACAAGCTGCTCTTCAACCTGACTGATCCAGATTTCTCCATCTTCCTCTTTTAACTGCAGAAGTTCTGGTTCCTCCAGAGTAAGTGTCATCTGTGGTGGGTTGGATTCCTCTCTTGCCTTCGTCATCTGCCATTGTTCTGGTTTCTCTTGGTCCAAACTGAAGTCAGTCTGTTTGCCAGAATCCTGCTGACCCGTTTGGACGTCCTTCTCCTGACCTGGGAGTTCTGGACAAACAAAATCCTCATGTAATTTTAGGTAACTGGTTTCAACCAATATTAAATGCGTTTTCTAGCTAACATTGTGCTTCAGTTCAACACCTCACCATCACATGGAAACTGCTGTTAAA